TCTTTTATCTTGAGAAGGAAATAATATTATAAGAGTAAGGTTTGAATAATGTTAAAAGTAGTGTGTAAAGGAGATAACGTAATTTCATAAATGTAGAAGTTGCTGAAAGAGAAATCTGAGTGTTGCCTAGACTGCACAATAGGCATAAACCATGGAGTTAGTGAAAACAAACGCCATATTGGCAGAAGCTCCCACCCATTTGGCATCTACTGTCACCTTCCCAACATGAGTGGGCACTGGAATAACCTTGGTTGGGGATGACTAGGATTCATTTGAACTTTAGTAGGTCAATTCCAAATATTCTACTCCTTGGTCAAGTACAGTGGCTCACACCTGTAATCTCAGCAATTTGGGAGGCTGAGGCAGGACCACTTGAGGCCTGGATTTTGAGACCAGCCTGGGCAGCATAGCAAGACTTCATCTCTATCAAAAATTTTTTTAAAAAAATACTCTACTCATGTCAGTAGAATCTTTAGTCCAAAGAGTAGAAGTGTTCTGATCTAACAGTGCATGGGGAGAGTCCAGCAGATGTAAAGTAATTTAGGTTGTTCTAACATGGTGACTTCTGGAAGACATTTAATTTCATAATGCCACTGCAGAGTAAGTCTCAATAAGTTAGTTGGAGCATAGGAGATGATGTCACTGTCATCTCCTTTTTCAGAGTTTTTGGGCAGGGTTCTTGTTTTGTTTTTTTCTTTTCATTTCATAATGTGAACAGTCATAAAATAGTTTGACCTGAGGTCAGTTCCTTGGTGGGATTGTGAGCACCAATCTAGTTGAAGTTGGTAAAAGTTGCAAGACTGGTAAGATTACAGGTTATCAATGATTGTTAGTGACATTCTTCTCAATTATTTTATTGGTACTCTGAGAACAGGCTGGTGAAATTTAAGGTAGGAATGCAAAGTGGTGAGATTTAAGGTAGAAAATAGAGCATGTATATCTGCTGAAAATTGGAAGGCCTACTTTTAAACAGATATAACACAGGGGAACAATAGAGTCCTTAAATGAGTGTCATTGTTGGACTTCTAGTTTGACTGCATAGGTTTCTTTCTCCATTTTAGCAGGAAGCCATTTTTCCAGTGCTGGATCTTTTTACAAATGTCATATTTCTAAGAAGTTAAATACCCACCTACCATGTGACTTAACCATTCCACTCCTAAGTATTACCCAAGAGAAAATAAAGCATATGCCTGTACAAGACTTATGCACAAATATTCATAATAGCTTTATTTGTAAGACCCCAAAACTGGAAACAATCAAAGCACCAATCAACAGGTGAATAGATAAATGGTGGCATAGTCATAAAACAGCATATCCAGCAATAAAAAGGAGCAAACTATTAATAAATACAATAATATGGATGAATCTCCAAATAATTTTGCTGACTGAAAGTCAGACAAAAAACAGTGCATAGTATATTATTCTAATTCTACAAAAAAATTTGAAAATATAGATTTTATACTAGTGGTAGAGAGCAGATCAGTGGCTGTCAGGAGTCAGTATAGAGAACCACGTAAGAATGACAAAGGGTCCCAAGGAAACTTTTGGAGGTGATGGCAATGGGTAGGTAATTGCAGTGATGGTTTCATGTGTCAAAACTCACCAAATTGAGCATTTTAAATATGTGCAATTATACCTCCATGAATCTGTTTGTAAAAGCTGGGGTCACCATAAGATGTGCTTTTCCACCATAGGGCTACCAGCTCCATGGGTGATCTAATCAAGTGTTCTCAACGGTAATCACCAAATATATAGAGTGCCCAATGTGAAATGCCAGCAAAATACTGATGTCCTATATTTTAGTATAAATCTTCTCTCTTTCCAAATTCCTAGTGAGAAAATTAAGTCTCTATATTAAGTTACCTTTTAAGTTAATAATGTCCAAAGACTAAAAAATGAAAACATAGAATCAAATTCTCTTGCTAATATGAGGTAAAAGTTCAATAAAACTAAAGTTCTTCCCAGTTTCTCATTTATTACTCACAGACAGAAATGTTCTTAATGTTTAACTGGATTCCTTCAGCAGCTCCAGCCTATCTTTCTGAATAGGATATAATTCATTCAGCATCTCAAAAATTAAATTCATTCAATATCTATCTATGGTTGCCTCAACTTACAAAAGGTTGAGTTAATAAAACACCCAAGATAATCACAACACTTGCCTCATACTCATGAAATTTAAAAGGCAGCTATCCTTATAAAATTATGCTCTCAGAATCCAGTAATTAATACCAAAGAATATGTAGCAGAAACTCTGTAGTAGAAAACCTCATGGATCTGTAGGAAGGATGATAATGGCTGGTAACTTTAGCCACATCAGAATGCAGTCACGTGAACTGCACACAAACTAAATTGCAAGAAACTTGTCAGCAAGAAGTTAAATTTATCACTGTATGTTTAGCATAGCATATCTTCACTTTCAGAAAGTGTCATTTGAAACACTGATGCCTTCTTGTGAGCACTCCCAATCACCTGATCTTCTTTGACCTGGCTCTGATCTTTCCCTAGTAGGCTAAAAATCTCTTTAGATTCATATTTTCTCTTTTACATTGTATTTCAATGACTGTCATAAACAATTTAGACCCTGTACTTTTCTAAAACTCTGTATTGCTAACAAGGCAGCTGTCTTGAAATTTACAAGTAGCAAAAACTGACATAATCACTAATGCCTAGCACAGCTATGATTATTCTTTTTTCTATAATTAAATCCTTGACCCAAATGAGATTGTTTTCTAGTGTCTTCACAGCATCTGATGAGGCCTTTGCTGTTTATGAATGCATACTTCATGTAGGTCAAGGTCAAGGTGCAGCAAACCTGCACTAGACTCCCTGCACATGCCAGTACATTTGTGATGCCAGCACTGCCAGACTAGTTGCTAAGCCTCACCTTGAGCTGGCATCTGTTGAGGTCATGGAGGCCAGCATTTGGCTGAGCTCCTCTCCCACATGTGATGTCTTTGATGAAGGCTGTATATCTCCATTACCCCCATTCCATGTCCTGCTTCATTGAGGCCTTCACACTTCTGCTTAAAGCCCAGGGTTGTACCCTGCCTCTGTAGAAATTTCCTATGGAAAAAGCTATCTTAAACTTAAGTCAAAATCCCCTGTGCCTTTAGGCTTAAAGCCTCTTGCCAAAACAGCAATTAAAATCCCACTGCACACTTAAAAAAATCAGATTAATGGACCTAATATAAGCCTCTGCAAGTTGCCAAGATCAAAACTCCCCATGTACACATTGAAGTCTGGAGCCAGGAACCATACACTCTGGCCATGGCAAAGAATCCCCACTTGGATACTGTGCTCCTTCAAATCGTATTCCCATTTAATTCCTTCATTGACCAACCCACACAGCACAAATTTTTAAATACATTCACCCAAACACAGTCCTCTATACTGCTCTATGACCATCTCCCTCCTACCATCCATCAATGAAACCTGTTTTTTCACAATTGACAGTGTGAGAATAGCAGTCAGGTGTCCAGGCACTTGGCTGGCAGATGAGGTCCTCCTCCCAAACTTATCATTTAGATGTTACTCTACCTCCCCTGGGCATAACAGGTGGGACAGGTAGCATGAAGACCATGAGAGTTAGTTTGATGATGTCCCTCCATATGAAAGGAGGTATCAGGAACAGATAGCAACCATTATCCTACTTCAGTAATGATAATAACATGGTGAGACCTCATCTCTACAATAAATAAATAAAAAATTAGCCGGGCATGGTAGTGCGTGCCTGTAGTTCTAGCGACTTGGAAGGCTGAGGCGGAAGGATCGCCGGAGCCCAGGAGGTCGAGGCCGTGGTGGCCGGGAGCTGCCACTGCATTCGTCTGGGCGACAGAGACTCCAACTTAAAAAAAAAAAAAAAAAAATACATTTTTATATTTTTTAAATATTTAAATACATCCCAAGCTTAATTCCCTTTGTAACTTTCCTCATGCTCTTTTCACCTCTAATCATCTTAACCTTGAAGGTTTTTCTCAAATGCTATTTCACTGAAGAAACTTTCTCTGATTTCGTCGAATAAGACCTCTTTCCTGTGAGGCCTTGGTCCAAGGCTTTGTAAAGTGTAGTGAGGAACGACAGAATTACTGGTGTTGTCTGTTAAGATGTCCATCAATAAATCTGTCTACACTATGCAAACTCCTAGAGTTAAGGTCCTCAAGCATCCTTTTTAAGATGTTTCTTGGGTGATTCTTTGGTGTACTAAAAGTCTATCTTTTTGATTTCATCTGACTGTCACATAACTTTTTGCCCCATGAAGTAATCTTTATTTGGTATTTATTCCCCCCCTGTAAAAAACCTGAAAGGAAGCTTTTTAAAAAGCTTAATGTGAATCCTGCACAAAGTTGTTAAAATGAACACAACTAATTTTCACTCATGTCTCAAAAGACTGGCCCCCCTTCCATATTTTATCATGATAAAGTGTCTAGAAGTAAAAATACACACAAATTATAAAGCAGCTTACTGAAATATTTTACCTCTATCATGATATACTGCCTTCACCAATGTTGCCAAATTCAGGCTTTCTCGGCTGCTTATTTTAAATGCAATATAGTACAATGTAAATTTCTAAGCATTGTTTTTCTATGAATAAAGAGTAAGTTTAGTTTCCTAAGCACCTACTGAACTTTTAAATTAGTAGAGTGCAAGGGATCCCAAAACTTTAATGCAACTTCAGACTGTACTTGCTATCATTTGTAAAATTTTATTGTGCAATTTTTGACAAGTACTATTTGTAAGTTCTTTTGCTTGCAATGACTATAGTCAAGCCCCTCCCATTTTGCTGCAACTTCAAGGAAGGAGAAGCAGCTATCCCAGTAGTTTCCCTCCGCACACAAGGGTGCCAGAATGACAGTGTTATCACAGCACAGGATCCCACAGGATATGCAGAGCTTAATTCTTGCTGTAGCACATCATGACTGAAAAGATCTTATACTAACAAGCTATATACTTTCATTTAAGGGAATGTTTATAAACATCACACACAAACAGCAGATTCATAAAGCTGAACTGTATATGAAGACCACTTTATTATATGGTGAGGGCAGATTATTTCAGCCCTCAGGTATTTGGAAAGTTCATCACCCTGTAACATGTACTTAATTTAAAATAAATAATTTAAAAGTCCAAGGGGAGCCTTTGCCTACCTCAACATTAAAATGAATTTTAAAACCATATAGCTAAATACTAAACTGAAACATTTAATTGAAATGCTTCATTGATAGCTCTGGTCCTTTATTTTCAAAACATTTTATTTCAAATAAATTTTATGTGGCCCAAAAGTATTACGTTTGAGCCAAAAAAGAAGGTTCTCTCAGGTCTTCAGGCCAACCTTCCTTCAGAGGCAACAAATTAAGAAGTAAGTTATATTACAAAGAACATATATAGCAAATTTTCTTTGACTAGAACAAAAGTACCTGAACATTTTATATTTAGTATAGTTTAGCGACCCAGTTTATGTTGGCAGAGCTGGATCACTGTTGGAAGGCACCTGTTACGTACATAAAAGAAACCAGTAGACAGCAGGTACTTTATTCCATTAGGACACATTTTTTTCTTGTATTTTTTGAAGAAGATACTCCATTTGTAAATTCAAGTTTGGCTGGCCCTTTTTAGTCTTTTTGCTTAATATTTTGAACACTTCCATTTTCTTCTTTTTATAGCGTGTTTGAGCTTCCTCTCTCTCTTGTTTTCTCCTCTCAAATTCCTGAAATTAACATACATAACTTTCATTAGCAACAAAGAGTAGATACACTTAAGAAATTGTTCTGAAATAGCTATCACCAAGTAAACATTCTAAGGCTTATCTCTTTTATTAGCAAAATGTGCAGTTCCCTGCAACTGAAGTAGTATACCTTGCTTTCACACTGCAAGGATACATGCTACAAATAGGAAATAATTTAAGTTATTAAACATTTTAATCATCATATGCAAATAAAATGAGATCACAAAAGATAGAAGTCATACACTGTATTTATTTACAGTGGAGTATTAACTCCAATGAAGAGTTAAAAGGAAATGTAGAGGTTAATTAGTCTAATTTCCACATAATAGTGAAAATTTCATTTCTAGAAACCTGGACCTCATATTTATTTTAATTTGCCATATAATTTACAGGTATAATTCATGAAATATTTACTAACTACTTATTATGTATGTGCAAAACGTTCTGCAAGGCATTATGATTTTGACTAAGAACTATCATGCTCATATGATCTTCTAAAACAAAGACTCAAAGCATGAGTATAAGAAAAAATAACTTTAAAGTTACAGAGACCTGAAAGCACTATTTAAAAAGCACTAAAATATTCTTACCAAATTCAATATAAAAGCTAAACAGAAGTTCTTAAATAATATGTACACTTAAATAGTGTAATATGGCTCTCTCTGTCTTTCTCTTCTCTTCTCTCTTACTTTCTAAATAAACTTTGTTTGAAACTTAAAAAATAATGTAACATTTTTTCAATTTCCTCTGTACCACATATAGCTTCAAAATGACAGCCTTATCTTTATATGAGGGGGGACCCTCAAATAACCGAAATTTATTAAAAAATTGTGTATTTACTCTTACATGTTTCAACTTCAGTCACCTTCAAAGTACTCTCCATTTGATGCAATACACCTATCGAGATGCTTTTTCTACTGCTCAAAACAGTTTTTGAATTTGTCAGTTTTGATGCCTTTTAGTGCTTCTGCTGTTTTTTGTTTCACCTCTTCTACAGGGGCAAAGTATTTCCCTTTGAGGACTTTTTTCATCTGAGAAAATAAAATCACTCAGGGCGAGATGAGGTGAATAGAGAGGGTGGGGCACAACGGTCATGCTCCTTTCGGTTCAAAACTGCGGCCCACTCAACATGGTGTGGGTAGGTGCGCTAGTAAATCATCCATCATGAAATAGGCAAATGCATTGAAAGACTCTCCAAAAAAATTTCAATAAAGCCAAATGCAGCCTCTTACAACAATGCTAGCTGATACACCAATGCGATGCTAGAATACTTACCTAGAGGAGGAAGCCTATACTACAAGGTGTCTTCTCTCCAAAAGCTTAATTCTGGGGGTTTTTTGGGTCCCCCATACAGTATCTTATAACAAGTACTTTCACATGCATCAAGTGGAATCATAGCACATTCTATTGTTTTAAAACTTTTTATGTAAATTATTATGTTCATCTTACAGATTGAGAGCTCATGTTCAGTAATACTGAAAGTAACTTGTGCAATATCCCAAATAACTGGTAAAAAGGAGTTTCATATTTAGGTTTTTGAATTCAAAGTCTCTGCAAATTTCCAAAATGCTATACTTTATCACTTAAAAGTATATTCTCACATGGTATAGTATTTTATATATTTTAATAAGCTCATAACGATCTAAAACATTTGTGAATTTAAGTATATGGAACCTAATTTACCCTTATGAAGTTTTTTTAAACAAAGTAAAAAAAATTAATATCCTTACCACTGATTATGGGTCCTAATTTAACAAATGTTCTAAACAATGCTGACCTCTCATGGGTAATGATTTTGGTTTTTATCTTAACATTTGAAACCTGCAAGTTCTGAGAAACTTAATTTTCATGATCAAATTGTTACATATTTAACTCTCTATAAAGGAAATTTTAAATTAACAATTTCCAGCTTAATTGTTCCTACTGCACTTCACCTGATATACTATTTCCATAGGCAGCCAACAGAGAAAAAAAGCACAACGCAAGATGCTATGGAACAATGGTCCAGTGTTTCTATGGAGAAATGTTTCTGCCTTATCTTGGTCTGCTACCAGTTTAAGAACAATCACAAACCATTTTAGATGTTAAACTCTCAGATTTCATAATTATACACATTCTAAATAAAAAATATAAGGGAAATTATGTGATGCCGTCTCTGAGGTATTTTTGATTGACACAGTATCCTTTTTAAAGTTAAAAGGATAAAGTGTAGAAGATAATTTTGTTGAAGCTGTGGATAGTTTTGTTCTAATTATTTGTAAAAAGTCTAATTCTGGTTTTCTGAATAACAGAATGATAACATTTTGCTAAGATAGTAGAGTTTTTTAAATAGGCAAGACCAACTCTTTTCATTAAAGAAATATTTTATTCTATCATCTCCCCTCTGGCTTTTACCTGTGTCAATGTAAGATTACAAAAATCATCTATATTTTCCTCAGATCAATGGTTTCCAAATTTTATTATACATAGCAATCTCTTGAGGTACTTGTTCAAGAACAAGTTGTTGGATCATATTCTGAGAAACACTGTCCCATAAGCTCATATTATTGACCTATAAGCAATATAATAGTATCCTATTCTTGTCCTACCAGCATTGCCTGAGATATCAACAATCAAGGAATTTGAATATGACGCTATTCTCTACCCCTACTCAGCCCATTCATTCACTCAACAAATAATTACAGAGAATGCCATGTGCTCCACACCAAAACACGCAGTAGGCATATACATTTAAGAGAGATTTGGGAGGCTAGACTCAATATTTTCAGAGCAGAACTTACTTGTTTCTTAGCAGCACGTTTAGCTTGTACTTGTTCATATTCTTCTCGTGCTTTTTGATTTGATGTTTTCTTTTTACTTTTCTTTGGAAAGGAGCTTTATAAGATAAATTAAGACAAATAAGTCCACAAGGATTAAAAATGATTTACCCAAAATGATGATGCAATTATATTCAATACAGTCCTTGTACAGTAAAATCTCACTAATGCAAATTAATTGAAGGGGAAGAGAAAAGGGGGAAGAAACTGGATGCTAGTCTTATTAGTAAAATGTTAAAAAAAGATATTAAGAACAGATGCAGCTTTTAAGATTGTAGAATAACTATGAGGTGGTAAATGAAGATTTTCAGGAGAAATATTTCAACTGAGAAAAATATAAAAAGCAATGCAAGATCTAAAATGTTAAAAAGTCTTAAAAATAAAACAAAATAAAAGGACACCAGTATATGAGTGAAAAATCATGAAATTACATTGACCGAAAAAGATATTAATCTGAAGGATGCTATGGACGTTACGGGTATACACAAATTTTAATCTAAAAGTTCTTTGACCAGTTCATCTCTATTTCATTCCATCTACTCAGTCATGAATCACACCTTGAACCTAGTCCCCATCAGAACCTTTGTATCTTGAAGTACTTCCCACCTCTCTGAAGGTATTCCTCTTGCCAATGATGATTCAACAAGTTGGATTATCTGATTCAGTAATAATCTTCCTTTCCTGGCTCTCAACTTTTCATTATACTTTAAAACCACAATATTAACACGGTTTTAGTAGCACTCTCCTTACAGTAAACAAATACATAAATTACCCATTACCAGACTCTATGTCCCCATCTCACTATCTTGTTTCCAGGCTTTCATAGTCATTTCTAGAGAAGACATGATGATTGTCACTTCCCATCTACTCCTTAACTCTTCTGTCCATGCCAAAATAGCAATGACCTTTTAGCTAAGCATGATGATAAACACGTACTTTTCAGTTTCTATTTTTTTGGGATTGCCCCTTGAGTTGGGATCTCATTCTGTCCTCCTGGCTGGAGTATAGTGGCACCACCACAACTCACTGTAGCTGCCACCTCCTGGGCTCATGTAATCTAACCACCTCTGCCTCCCAAGTAGCTGGGACTACAGACACGTGCCACCATGCCCAACTTAGTTTTTGAATTTTTTGTAGAGATGACGTCTCACTATGTTGCCCAGGCTGGGTCTCGAACTCCTGGGCTCAAACAATCCTCCCTCCTCAGCCTCCCAAAGTGCTGGGATTACAAGTGTGAGCCATCACACCAGGCCTCAGTCTCTTTTAACTGACTATTCACTATTTCTGAAGATATCACTCCTTCAGTGTGGGTGACATTCTGTCTTTGATTTTTTTTCTAATCTTTCCTTCTTGGTCTGTCATGATAGAGCCTCTTTGTTTTGCTTTTCCCCCTTGGTGCTTCTCAGTCTACATACTCTCTTAGTTTTGCAGCAGTGAAATCCATGACCATGGTTTAGATGTCATATGTATGTCAGGTTGAAAGCTTAATCAGAGTTATCTTTTGAAAATCTTATCTCCAAAGTCACCAGTGCTTGCCTAGTCCACAAACTCAAAGACCTGTTCTAATCCTGTTTTCCTTGAAACTGTTAGTACAGAAATCCACCCTTATCTAGAGTTTTGCTTTCCATGATTTCAGTTACCTACAGGCAATGAAGTTTTGAAAATATATTTTAAAATACCAGTAAGAAACAATTCCTATGTTTTATATCACATGCCGTTCTGAGTAGCATGATGAAATCTTACAATGTTCCTCCTAGGATGTGAATCATCTGCTTATCCAGCATATCCAGGCTGTACATGTTCCCTACCATCAGTCGCTTAGCAGCCATCAGATTGGCTGTCACAATGCTTACGTTCAAGTATCCCTTACTTTACATAATAATGGCACCAAAGCACAAGAGTAGTGATGCAGACAATGCAGATATGACAAAAAGAAGCCATAAAGCGTTTCCTTAGTGAAAAGATACAAGTTCTTGACTTAATCAGAAAAAAATCGTATGCTGTGGTTGCTAAGATCTATGAAATCGAGAATAAAAAATAAATGTATGCTAGTTTTGCTGTTGCACCTAAAACTGCAAAAGTTATGACCACAGTGCATGACTTAAGATGAAAACAGCATTACATATGTGGTTAAAGAACATGAATAGAACATGATCCAATTGACAGCAACTGGGTTTGGTACTATCCAAGGTTTCAGGCATCCAGTGGGGCTCTCAAAACATATCCTTGCCAATAATGGGGGACCACTACACTTGATAGCTGACTAATTCCCACTTCATACAGCTTTCCTCTGTGTATTTTCCTTTCTCCAGCTTCAAAAAGTTTACTTAACGTTTTCAATGACTTTTTCCCATTTTCCCTCAAGATGAAGAGTTATCATTAAAAACATTTTTACCTTCTTGTTTCATAATTTAACCCTCCTCACTTCAATTGTCACTAAAATTGACTCCAATCTACATTTCTAGTGCCATCTTTTCCAAGCTTTATATCCATTATTTAATAATACAAAGGACAGCATACTTAAAAGATTAAAATCTTATGTATATGCCTTTATCCTCAATGACACTTTCTCCCTGAAGTCCTATTTCCGGTTATTTTTTTAGTACAAATAACTCACAACTTTAAAAGATAAGAAAAGTAAAAATTATGGTCTCAAGTTAATACCTGACTTTTTGCAAGTTTAGATTTTAAACTTAAAATAGTTTTATAAGTTATAAGTTACTATAAGAATGTTAACAGTTTTATAAGTTAGCTTTTATTAAATCCAAAATATTACAGAAGTGTATTTGTTTTTTAATTGTGGCTCATTTTCTGTCCTCTATAGAAAATCCAGACTAGTAAGAGTAATAGTGCAGCTAACACTCATGAGTATGATGTCATGAAACGCTTTAGGAACATAACTGTATGGGAATACTCCATTCTGGAGATGTACAACAAAGCTGCTGTAAAGTACACACTTATTAAAGTATTATCATTACCATTTTAGAGATAAGGACACTGGTGCACCAACATGTTAAATCTGGCTCTAGAACTTATGGTGTTGATGACTAAACTTATAATTCTGCTCAAAAATTGTTTTTAAAAAAATATTTAATAACAGGAGTTAAGTATGGTCCAAGCAAGTTACATGTACTTGAAGAGCAGAAATCCAAATTCCTCATCTCTTAATTTCTATCTCATTACTTTTCCAAGAAAGCAAAACTAGCCTAATTCACTTACTGAAGCTAAACAAGTGAAAAAGTCACAGAGCCACCCCTGTGACTTCTAAAGCATGTTACATAAGAAACTAATTCCAATTCCTACGTAAAGTGTCATATATCTCTCAGAAAATACCACATATTGAAAGGATTTCAAAAGGAGAAAACACATACTTTACTGTTTTGCTGCTTTGTTCTTTTGGCTGTTGTCGGTCAAAGCTATCCTGATCTTCAGACAATGCCCTGTCAATGCTACACTGTTGTTCAAGCAAAGGCTGGGCAACTTTTCTTAGTTGCTTCCGGAGTCTTTCCTCTTCAGCTAAATAGAGATGTTTCAGATGATCTGGGTACCGATCTGTGAACTGGGATTCCTGTGATGTTTGTGCCTTCTTTTCTTTCCACAGCAATTTCTTGTAACTTTGCTGAATCTTCAATTTTCTTCGAAATGCAAAGCCTTGTCCTACATTGAAGAATATCAGTCAAAATTATTTTCAGAGAAAAGAAACCAGTTGAGTGAAAAATGAAACAATTACAAATGAAAACTTTTTTTTACCATCATCACATTAAGATGCCAGGATTACTTTATATTGTTCTTTTTAAAAAGATTATTTCAGGTAACAAATTTAAGCTGATTAATAGGAAACTGGACCTTTGCAAAAAAGATCAAGCTAACAGTCTTGCAAACATCCAAATAAGAATGTCAGAGAAAATCTTGCCAGTTCAGGCTGTTGCACAATTTGAGATTATAATTGCACTTACAAATCAAAACAAAATATTTAGTTCATCTAAAACACTTAATCTAGGTCTCCAATTAATACTTAAACGTTAAAAAAAATTCTATTTTATTTTGCATGAACTACTATAACTTTTTTCAAAATACGTAAATACACACAAAAATGAGAAGATAGTGCATGACTTTCTGAACTACCAATGATCCTAAGACTGAATTTATTTAATATTTATATTCCAAGTGGAATCTGAGGGTCTTACAAACCGCAAGGCAAACGGACAAATACAAACTAAAGCGAAGGAGAGGAAGAACGAGAAGACTGGAAGTCTCCTGGGGTATCTACGAGCAGCAAGGCTATGTACGGGGCAGTTTGTTTCTAGCTCCGTCCTTCTCTCTATCCTTTTACCTTAGCATATGCGCAAATACAAATACATAATACACGCACAGGGGACACGCAGACACTCTGCTTACGGTTTCAGAGGAAAAAGAGAAGAAAAAGTTCTGATCAAACACTGGGTTAAGTCAAAGATGTTTAGAGATACAAAGCTAGCAACAGTGCCCCATCTTCCTACCCAGAGGTCTGAGAGGCCCACACCTTCAGCTGACTTAAGAATGACTTCCTCTACCCCAAGAAGAACGGAATCTGGTTCCTAAATCCTTCTTCCGACCTTCGGCGGGTCGCGTATCCTAGGACTTCGCACGCCTGGGACTTGTAAATGGGTCGCCTAGTTACGTACCCTCACGAACGCTCCCCACGAAGGTTTGGGGATGGTTAAGCCGCCATATTCTGTGTTTCACATTCTTATTCTTGAATTCGTCCGCAGGAACGCCTTCGCCACGCGTCCCCAAGCCTCCTGTCCGCCACCTCGCGGCCTGCCTCACCGGCGCCATTGCAGCGAGCCAACCGCGCCACGACCGCGCAATGGACGCCTTCAAAATGCGTCACTCAGCCGAAGCAGTCAATCGCCCATCTAGAGTCCCGTTCTGAGCTCTACTTATCCAGCCTGCGCTACTTTGGGCCGAGCAGTCACCTCCCAGCCATGTTTGCGCCACCTACAGTTTCGGAGGGTGAGCGTCATGGCGGCCTTCGGCACTCTCCCGGTAACCCAGGACCTGCCCATGCTGCTCGCCAAGTTGCAGGGTCTGCTGCGGTTCCTGGGGGACGCCCTGGCTATTTCCAATGCACATACGGTGGACTTCTACACAGAGGCTGTGTGGGAGGAGTTGGTCGATTTGCCCCCAGACACGGTGCTGGCAGCGCTGAGGAGGTCGGCGGCGGAGGCGGAGGTAGAGGCCCAGACCGCTGAGGCGCGCCCCCTAGTGGAAGCAGAGAGGGGATCAGGTGAATGGCGGGGCAGGCGGGGCGGGAAGGGAGGCGAAGGAGAAGGCCGGCCTGCGAGGCGGACGGAACCAGGTGAGGCGGGGCCGGGAGGCGGGGCCGGGAGGCGGGGCCGGGAGGCGGGGCCGGGAGGCGGGGCCGGGAGGCGGGGCCGGGAGTCGGATTAGCCGAAGGGTAAGGACGAGATGCTCTTCGGGATCGCTCGTTCTTGGGTGCCTGTGTATTTCCACAATTTAAAGAAAACAGGAAACAAGGCTAGCTGTTCGTTCATTCACTTAATAATTCAACAATAGTTGTTTGACTAGCGGGAAACTAGGGGAACAGTGCTCTCTCACAGGGCTTATAGATTCTATGCGAAAACATGGTAGAAAATTAACAGTTCACGAAATAAACATAATTTCATGTGCTAGTCATACTCAAGTAGAAAGTAAAACCAGTGTAATTGATAGTGATTGTTTAAGGAGGCTGGCTGCCTTAAGTTAGGCCAGGGCCATGAGAAGGAATTTCAGGCGATGGGAACCACAGACTGGTTAGAGCTAGGTGAGGGGTTGCAGGTGCGGTCAAGGAGGGAAGCAGGGGTCAGATGGCTCGGACTTTGGAGGGGTTTGCGATTTTAAGCGTGATGGGAAACCTTGGTAACTCTTTTGGTCACATAGTGATGTAATCTAATTTACATTTGAAAAGATAACAGAATTATTTGGAGAATAGACTAAGTGAAGTTAGACTAGGGAGGCAAAACATAAGCAGACAGTTCAGTTAGGAGACTATTTCTTCAGTACAGGAAAGAGATGATTGTATCTTGGATTAGGATGGAATCAGTAAAGGATCCTGAATGTTCACAGTATAATTTAGCAATTAAATATGGAGTGAGATAGGGTTCAAATTCCAATTCTGCCACTTTCAGTTCTCTTTGGGTAATTCATTTATTCATTTATCAAGTGTCAACTGTATGCCTGGCATTCTTCTAGGAGTTAGGGAAATAGCAGTAAATAAAACAAACAAAAATCCCTACTTTCGTCTTGCTTGCATTCTAGAGGGAAGAGACACATCAAAATTTTTTTTGTATAAGTCCAAATAGAAAAGGGAGGAGTAGATAAGGGGAGGTTGAAGAGTAAATTATGTTTGCAACTTTCAGTGGGTTGTCCTAGCAAGATCTCATTGAAGCAACTATGTAAAGGAAAAAAAAAAAATCTATCTTAGGAGAAAAATAGGCCATGAAGATATCTGGAGGGAAAGCATTCCATGCGATGCAAACAGAGAACACAAATGCCCTGAGGAGGGAGCAGGGGTGGTGTGTTTATAAGGAGCAGCAAGGAAACTGGAACGAATTTCTGTTTGGGTCTCACAAGGTCGTCTTCTGGTTCTGTATGAGGAGTTACTAGTCAACATAATTCTCATAGCTGCATTCACAGTGTTTAAAGGTACATTAACAAATGTTTGGCCAATCAGTTAGTGTTTTATGGGACAGAGTGCTCAGTGTATCCATTTTAGTAGGTTTCATGTGCCAGTTGATCTACTGGCCTGGTCAGAGTCCTAAAAGTTTCTTCTTCTTTATCTATCTAAAAAGAAATACAGCAAAAAATTTAATTCTCCAAAATAAACAGGAAATATGTTGAAAATTACTATATTTTTAAGGCATAAAGTATGGCTTTCCAGACAGACTGCCTGGGTTCAAATCCTGGCTCTACCACTTATTAGCTGTGGTAACTTGGAAAGTGTGCTTCAAATCCTTGTGCATAGTTCCCCATCTATAAAATGAGAGTGATTTTAGTACCTACTTGATGTGATACTGTGAAAGGTAAATGATAATACATAGAAAAGGATGAGAATAATGCCTAACAAATTGCAGCACTGAACTCACTCATTCCTTCAACTAATGTTTATTGAGCACCTTCTACCTACTAGATCTTATTCTAGGTCCTATGATTATGGATTATTGTATTGAACACAACAAAGACCCTGCCCACATAGAGCTTACATTTTAGTGAGGGTAGATACACAGTGAATAATACATGCATAGTAAAAATAAAGTCAGGTGGCAGCAAATATAGTGAAGAAAGCAAGACAAGGCAGGGAAGGTGAAAAATGATGGTGTGTTGGAGAGAAATGTTTTGTAAAATAGGATGATCAGGGAAGTCTTCTCTAACAAGATAAAATTTGAGTAGATGCTTAAAGAAAGTGAAGGAACCAGTCATGCAACTATCTTTCAGGTGTAGTGAACAGCACCACAGAGCAGTCCAGGTGAGACTGGTCAGAGACAGGGTTTGACAGGTGTCTAGCGCAACTTAAATTTGTAGACTGAGCTCAGGACTTGGCTCTCATTCAGAGCAAGGCTCTTTGAGGATTTTGTGTGGTGGTGTAATAACATGTGATTTATGTTTCAAAGGGATGAGTCTGGCTTCTGTTTGGAAAACAAGGTAAGGAAGGCTTAGGAAGGTGAGGGGAGAAGCAGGAAGATGAGATAGGTTATTAAAATAGACCAGGTGATGGTCGTTGATGAAGACAAGACAGTTTCTCCTATAGAAAATAATGATAAAAACTGGCCAGATTATTAAAAACTGCTGGAAGGTACTAGAAAATGACCAAAGGAAAAAAATGTTTACTGAAAAGAGTTTGCCATTGAAAAACTGCTACCGATGGGGTAAGAGTTGGGTGTTAATGGCTTTCTTGCTAAGGGTGCTCCATACCCTTCTAGATCTGGCAGTGGTGGAATATCACATCCTTGCCAACTCAAGGTGACAATGGCAGAGTTCTGAGATCAGAGCAGATGGAAACTTAAAGGAGTACATTTTGAAAACAGGAGAGACACAAAGGCCTAAGATCTAAGATGTGAGTATAAACTCTGCCTGGGTCCTCAAGTGGTCTCTTATCTATACATGCCCAGGAGACCCAGGGAGTCCAGCAAAAACACTAGCAAAACTAGGGGGATGGTGAATCCTTGAAAGATAGAGCTTCTCCTGATGAGAGATTTGCTGCTGCACTTTTAGCAGAGTGTGTTCCCGAAAGTACACACAGCTTGGGTGACAAAAATCAGAAACCTTGTATATTCATGTATCAAGGGGCAAAATTCATGTTTGGCAGAGCAACTGGAAATTTAGGCTTGGGAACCTTAGGATTAGAAATAAGGAAACTACAAAAAGGGTGAGCCTCAAAATCTTAACTATAAAATCCACCCAAATCTTTGTTTAACTGCAAAGCAGCAACTAAGCAGAGATATCACACTAGAGGGGAGATAGTTTTCACAGTTTGAATCTCAGCAAGTTAAATTTTCTACTAGAACAATATAAACCACAAACCTTTAGAAAAACAAAATAGATTCACCACAGGGAATCTATTCTGCCTTTCTAACTTTCAGCTAAAAACTACTAGATATGCAAAAAAGTGGGAAAGTCTGACTCATATTCAGGAAACTGAATCTAAGTGAGCCCCTAGTGCTGGAATTTAGGAGCTGTGCTCAAAGAATTGAAGCAAAGTGTGACTCACATTTAGAGAAAAAAGAATAAGTCAATAGAAATTAATCTACAGTTGAGTCCAGGAGTTTGAGGCTGCTGTGAACCATGACCCACCACTGCACTCCAGTCTGGGCAGCAGAGGAAGACCCTGTCTTTTAAGAAAAAACAAATATTAGATATGGTTCTAATTGGGCTAACATGTTAGGTTTAAGTGGCTATTATAAATATGTTCAAAGAACTAAAAGAAATATATTCTAAGAATTAAAGGAAAATGTGGTATTAATGAATATTTAATTATAATACATTGCATGTCTTTTAAATTGAAAAGCACGTGCTCATTGATGCACAATTACTTTAATGTTATGTATCATCTATTGCTGAACTACAAGAGGCTTGAAACTACACTATCTCACGCAATTCATGTGGATCAGGAATTCAGGAGCTGATTAATTTGGTGGATCTGGCTGGGGGTCCCATGAGGTCACAGTCAAGAGGTAGAGTGGGAGTATACTTGCTGAAATCTTGGTTGCAGCTGAATGATTTGCCTCCACAATATCTCACATAGGTGGCTAGTGGTGCTGTTGGCCTTGAGGACTCATTTCTTACCATGTGAAATTCTCCATTGGGGCTGCTTTCATGGAGCTTTTGCATGATGATCTTGTTTTTGTCTGCACTCAGACATGATTATGGAGTTATCATGGTCACAGACCTTGTCCTATGTTGGTGTTCTGAGAAATTCTTTATGTTTGGTAGGAAAGACTGTGGTCTACATGTTAGTGGCAGGCCAGCTATGAGCTGACATCTGTTTGTTGCAGCTAGTTGACTTTTTTCCTCCTCCCTTTTTCCAAAGTAAGGATAATATACCAGTCTTGTAGATCTTGTAGGTTAGGGACAAATATTAAAGATAATGTAGCACGGCACTGAGAATGTAGCCTGAGTTCAATGAATGGTGGTTAATAAAATGATGATGATGGTTGTGTGATTGATAGTGGTGGTGTAATTAGATTTTTCCTTGGAAGAAATACATTGTGAAGAACTCCTAAAATAACAATATTTTCTGCCATATTAAAAATATTATACTATTGTCGTCCATTGGCCTGTTTGTATCTCCAACTAAATTATAAATTCAAAAAACAAAAGTATGATTTTTGTTTCACTGTTACAGTCTCAGCACCATAAACTATTTCTGTTTATAGAGGAGTACATTACATGATTTTTTTACTTTAAAAAATTATTTATTTTGAATGAAAAAAATGTATGTATGTACTGTGTACAACATCGCACTTAAATGATTCCTAAAGAATGAAGTTGAACATAGATCTGTAAAAAGTTTACTGAAGGTCCTGCTTGCAAATGTCTAGTACTGAATACACCTATTTCTGGTGTGATCTCTAAGTTATATTTGTTATTATTGTTTATGTGTGATATGATCCAACTGATAGACTTTTAAATTTATTTGAAGAGTTGCAGATCAGTAACTATTCTTTCCCTAGGTGGAAATGTAGTACTTCATTCTGTACATTGCAGATTACAGTAAGAAACTCTGAAAAC